AGAGCGTCGCATTAAAAATAAAAGCAAAAATAAAACAAACATTAGTGTTACCGCCTTGGCGCCGTCTGCGAGAATTATCCTCCTCCGCCGCAGCAGCAACGCGCATTATTCACACAAATCGCAAAATAAACAAACTAAAGCACAAAAAAAAAAGCCCGCAGAGTGTCGCACCCAAAACCCACACGCCGCCGCGCTACTGTTGCGCCCCCTCCTTCGGCTCATTCCTCGCTTTGGGAATCGCCAAGCCCCTGCGCCTGGCGCCGTCACTCGGCAGCGGCGCAGACAATACCTCCCACGGCAGCTCCGCGGCAGAAGTATTCCGCCCCTCAAAAATACGCCGCTGGCACATCCCCGAGGTGCCGCACCGTGCCGCAATCACCCGCGGCCCAGCCATCGTCCCCCTCTCGGCTCTGGCGCGGCGAAAAAGAAGCCGCCGAAACGCAGAAAGTGTTTCACCGTCGGGAGTTGCAGCGTCCCGTGCGCCGCCTCAATCGTCCCGGGCCCGGACCCCCGCGGCGGCAATGCCACCGACTTGCACGGGCGCAGCGCAGGGTTTATTTGCAGCAGGCCGCTGCCGTGGCCCACGTCGCGGCGTTTGCTTCAGCTCCTTCATTTTCCTCTGCATCGCATCCGCGGCAGCCCAATCCCAGAACGCGCTGACAGCACACCTTTCCAGAGCTGCAGGGAAAAGGCGCATCCTTCAGCCTCCGTGCCAGCCGCAACAAACCCCTCTGCTTCCATCGCTGCCGCCAACGTGTCCATTGCTCCGTGCCCGAGCTTTTCACAGCTCGGCGCGGTGAGGAACGCCTCACCACCGACCATTCCTCTCGCTCGGAGATGTTTCGCCAGTCTGTGGGGCGCAGCTTCGCCCTCCCACGCTTGTTCAGCGGCGCACATAGAGCAATGCACAACGGGCAAGCGGTCGATCGCCCGCACGGCAATTTGAGTCGCGTCCAGGCGCTCCACACACCTGCTACAGCCGAAGATCCACCGTGGAATCCAGCACCCACAAAACACATGTGTTCCCCAGCCATTCTCCAGCGGCCTGCCTGTCCTCCCAAAGGCCGACCGCGCGCGCCCTCCAAGCACGCGCCGCCCCCACGTCGTTCTTGTCCGGGCAACTCGTGACGCTTCGCCTGGCCCCTGTTTGCCCCGCCCATCCTTTCAGTTGTTTTCTTCCGGGGACGGCACCGCAGTCTTCCCCCACGCGGCGGAGGGTACACAACCTCCGCTGCGGCTCTTCGCCCTCCTCGGCCCCCAACACGCGGCTCCCCCCTCCGCACCGCAGGTTGCCCCGCAGAATCCCTCCGGCAACTGCAGTTTGCCCCCTGTTTTCCTGCCTTTACCGTTCTTTTTTTCTCTCTCCCCCAACTTCGCCTCCGCTGCTTCCCCCGGAGCTGCAAGGGCCGGCCGGGGCCTCAGCCGCGCGGCACCAGAGACGCCGTCCCGCCGTGCGACGGTCCCTCAGCGCCAGCGAGCGCCCACCCCGCGCCCACGCGCCTCCACACAAAGCC